CTCAAACAGTACCTTGCTTTTTGGCCTTCATGCTGAATGGTTGATTTTCTTGTGCAGTCCTTCATTTTGGTTCTTACTGTTCTCGGCTTGACGCTGATTTCTTAATGATTTGAGTTGAACGACTTAAGAACAATATAGGAAAAGCTTGAAAATTGATTTTCCCAATTGGGAATGTATATTCTCAAACAAGAACGTCTGCTCGCGCAAGGTGACGTCCCGAACCGGAAATAGTTTCCACACAAGGTTATGTGCGTAAGAAAATAGTCAATCATAAACAAATAATTGTAAATATTATGAGGATGAGAACACTGTTGTTGTAAGCGTCATGTGCATATGGAGAGGTCATTGATGAGAAAAAAGTATATCATTGTACATATTTCAGAGTTCGTTTATTCCTCTGCGGAAATGTTCTATTTGTTTTCGTTTGTCACTGACCTAGGTAGACTGGCCCCCTCTCTAGTATCTTGAATTATTTAGAAACCGAATCTATACCAAGTTCTCAACCAGGGGGAGATAAGCTACATGTAGTAGTAAAATGCAGTTGAGAAAATGTCATAAAAACTTGTAGCCAGTCTTTGACCGAGGATCTCGATTAAGGTTACGTATAATCTACAAAAAAATAATAAATTTTCGCTGGATTTTAGTTTGTAACTTAGTACGCCGGTTTCCGTAATAGACGTCGACGACGGGCAGAAACATTAACATCACAACCTTTCGAAAGATTTGATTTGTTTGTGTTTTACGTCCTATAACTGGTAGAGTCATTTAAGAACGTGTTTGGTGGTTGAGGAAAGCCGGCGTCCCCGAAGAAAAACCATCGACATACGGCTAGTATCTAGCGACTGCCCACGTAGGCCTCGAACCTGCGATCAAGTGTCGGAGGGCTAGTGGTACAGTAGCAGAATGTCAAGACGCCTTAACTAATTAGCCACCGCGGTCCCTCTTTCGAAAGATGTAAGTTGATGCAGAATTTGAACAGGTTGTATGGTCGCCATCATAGGGGAGTTTTACCTTCTCTTGTGTGATGTTACGGTCCTCTTTAGTGTTCTTTTAATTTCGTTGTTACTACTCAAACATTCACTTTCAGGACATTGCATTGGTAGGACCCGAGATAGACACATATCACGGTTGTCTCCGATAAACCAAAAACATGATTTCCCTTCCAAAACACCCCCTCTTAAACTCCAAGTAATGCATAATACTGAGTAAAGTGCCCGTAGCCATATTATCTTGGATATTTATAGTTCGATGTAAAACTCTGTAAGTTGCTGATTATCATTTGATATTCCACAGTGTGAAGTGCCGATATTTATTGTTACGTGTGATAAAATATATACAAATCTTTAAATGTCGATATCGATAATTGGTTGTTGGTAACGCATGAATAATGAATAGCAAATTCCAGTCTTTGAGTGATATTTTTATGTTTGCTAAAAGGTTGTATATACTATCAAGGTTCGATGTCCCTGTAGATTCGGGGAAATAACATTCCTGGTGTGTTGCACTGTATACCAAGTACATGTATGTATCGTTAGATGTATTTTGTTTCTTTTAAAATATTACATTAAATACGATTTGTGGTGATGATCTTTTAAACCAGGGTTCAATGTAAATTGTTTCTGTAAAAAGGACCCAAGCTGTTGAAACTTCGTACATAGCTTAAGCTTAATAGTAAAAAAATCCCTTTTTAAAAGGCGACCACTTAAGTGTGGTGAACATTTAATTAGAGGAAGTAAAATAAAGTATAATTTCAATATGCTGTTCGTTTTTAGTAGTTTTTTTTATCTAACGCTTTTACACTTTATTATGGTATGTGGTTTTGGGAGGCATTTCCGACAAAAAGTTAAACAATTGAAACACGTGAAAACAAGATGATTTGGATATAAAAAGTCTCATTTTAAATCTTAATATATTTTTACAAATTATTTTAACCAATATGTTTTGTTGTACAATGTGTGTAAGGTAATTTGCTGTGTTACATGAAGAACAATTTTAACAGTTTGTGTAAGGTGATCATAGTCATTGGTTGTTTAAAATGCAATATTGAAAATTATGTGTTATTTGTTCCGCTTATCATTGTCGTATTAATGAAATATATCAGAGTTTAGGTATAACATTTATTTGATTAATCTTTGATGAAGCAATGTTAATGTCATACCTTGAAATGTATGGAAAGCGTCATTTTGGGGCATTTAGGCATTTGGACATTATACTAATGGTTGTTATAGGCGAGCTGTTTTCTACGTGTAGATATAGTTGGCGATTATGTTTTACCCGTACTTAGCACTCGTACGACATATTGGGTTTCTGTCAACCGAGCTGTTTGAAATTTCGAATGAGTTGAAACGTATGGTACACTTGTATGGTTGATTGTTCGGGGCAATATTACAAGTCCTTTTCCCCGTTTCGGGCAATGTTAGAAACAAAACATAAAAATTGAGACGATTGGTTAATGTTTGTGGGCATTTTAGAGCGTTAGTTATCAAGTTTAATTTGCTCACTGAAACGCATTGCATATTTTCAAGTTAGTAAGTAATTGGAATGCATATGAAACATAAGCAATAATCGGTCATATTAGAATACTTTCAGGCAGCGTTTTTACCCGTCCTGTTCAATAATTGACATGTTACAATAATCTTGAAGTTTATCTACTCCTTGTGTTTGCCCCTTGTTTGTTCACGTTGTTAATTTTGTCTTTGTTTCCTCCTCATCTATCTTTAATGTATTCTGAAATGTCAATATCCTCATAAGGTTTGAAGATATATTTGCTATTGGTTCAGACCTTTTCGTGTTTGAAGCACGAGAGTAAATCTGTTCTAGCCAGTCCACATCCATTCAAAGGTTGTTATCCTTGCCAGGACATACGGAAACGTTGCTAGACACTCCTGTTGCTGCCCCTAAGTGCCATCTCATTAGAACAGCAACACAAGTAATGATTAAAGATAAGTGTATATTTGAGGCGAGGTCAATGTGTGTTGGGCGATTCTGTACATCAAAATAAACACAGTCTCAGCTGCTACACGGTAGCCTTATAATTAGTATTCTTTCGATAGCGCATTTTTTTTAATCGTTTTGTTACATCTACATGTATGACAGAATATTAGCTTTCAACGCATACGTTCTATGCAATAAAATTGTTGCTTACATTGTAAATGTGTATATAACTTTATGATTGTGTTATGATATCCAATTGATGTCTCTCTAATTTGGCTCCGGAGTGTCCTCAATATGCGAAGATACCGTCTGCATATGACCATATCTCCCGTTGCGAGTATGCAAAATTCCTAAGGACTTAGGCGACTTAATCAGCCAATCAGCAGATGTGTGATACAATTGTAGTCCCTACCTTAAATTAATTCAGTTAAATACAGTTCCTTGAGCAATTTAATTTTGTTAACATTTACAGACATTTTATGGAATGAAATTTACAGGAATTGGTGTTTGGAAAAATTAAATACATGTAGCTTTTCCGTCTTTGCGTATTGCAGAGTTATCTTCTCTTGAGATCAGATATTGATTGTTACGTCATTGGTTTGTGTGAGAAAATTACGTCGTTTTTCAAAAATTGATGACGTTACTCTCACAAACAAATGACGTCACAATCAATACCTGCTCTCAAGAGAAGATAACTCTGCAATACGCAAAGACGGAGTAGTAAATTTAGAAAGATGTAGAAAGTCAGAGGATGTTCACTTTCGTTTGTCAACAACTGAATGCTGTAACAATCGTTTCTGTCATGTCAACATGGCTTGTGGAGCCTTTGTAAAGTTGATTTATAAATCAAGACAACTGTCACTAGTGTTGATCTTCAAAATGTAAAACTAGTAGCTCAAATGCTCAAAAAAAGTAATAATGTAAAGTAAATTATTTACAAGTTGTTACGTGATAATGAATATTGATGTTAATCTTCGGAAGTGCATGCATACTTGATAGTTATTAAAATATCTAATTTGCAAATATTTGAATTTCAGAAATTAGGGTAACATCGATATGGCCTTTCAGTGTCTATTACATATTCAGTTCACCAGATATTTGACACCTTAGCGAAATAGAAGTGATCTGTGGTAATTGTGTATATTTCGCTATGCTAATTCAAGGTAGAGAGTCCAAACACTTTGTTATAACTCCAATGAAGGAACGTTTCAATTTCTTTCCATGGCAAGTATACAGCAAACAAATGGTGGGAGTACATGTTTCTATCTTAAGCTTAAATGGATTTAATAAACTGATCTGTCGGACAATCAGAATATATCCTTACGGTACGATAACTAAAATGTCCTTTCATATGATAATGACTGTATTAAAGATAGGTAATATTATAAGACTATTTCATTCCCATTGGTGTATGAAAGGGAAATTCCACCCGAGGGGTTTTGCCGAGGGTTTTGCCAAATTTTAAAATCCCGAGGGTGAAATTTCTCTATCCTACACCCTTGGGCATGAAAAAGAATTTTTCTCTCTTTCCAACTACCAGGATAAGCTCAGAAAGTATGAAAATGCGTTTGAACTGGCTACGACTTTGAAAATATTACCCCCCCCCCCCCCCCCCCCCCCCCCCACGAGCCACTTAGATGAAAACGAACCATACAGCCAGAGTAAACGTACCCCATACTTGCAAACAAGGTTTGCGCAGAAAAATTAATCTCATCTTTCTAATATGTACGGAAAATATATACGTAAAAGGTTTTAATTTTATCACGTCGCCTTTTCCGCATTGTGGCAATTGAATGCCTGACGTCACGTCATTGTTCAGCCATAGTGACATCACGTCACGTGAAACGGGGTGAAAGGTAGAAATGTCCTTCAAGCCTTTCTTACACTGGACAGCTCTACCTTACACATACGGAAATGAGAGAAATCTTCCTTCTTAACACCAGATGTAGTAAATTTGTTTTTCAATTGAACACTTGCCATATAACGATGTATGTACAAAGGAAACATAAAGTAACACCGATCAATTTTTTAAGTAAAATATAAAATTTATTACACACAATCTGCATAGTATTGATTGATAAGAAAGAAAAATAACGATTTATTCAAACAACAGTAAAGATGTGGATCACGTTGAGACAAGTATATATAACGTCCATGGAATTGTACATAGTGGTAATAACACATAAAGGGATGATGCTGCCGATGAATAACCATTAGTTGAGTCTGTTTCTGCTGTTTCTGCAAAACACAAACAAGAAAAAACTGTCAGAAAGGCACGTTATTCAAACCATATGTGAATTTATATAATTAATCATCGATACAATGGACATAACAATATACACCATATTCTGACACATTGAATGGTCACTTTTGGCAATAACATTTGAGATGTGATTATATGCAAACATGTACAATCCCAAAAACATTTTTTTAAGATGGTTAAGGACACACACAAGAGTATATTACATGTAGTTACGCAGTAACCTACATGAATTATAATCAAACTGTATGGAACATTTTAATATTGTTTTTTAACAACGCTTTACAATGTAAATTCAGTTAAACAAACCAAGAGCTGTTATGGTAAGCGATCTATGCTGAAGTACCTTACGCATTTGAAGTTTGGCGGCAGACATAGGTGTGGTTGTGCTGCATACATGTTAAACGTTAATATATCCCAATAAAAAACATCATTGAAGTTGACGTTTGACCTTACCATTTAGCAAATTTATTTTATAAACTTATCATTGAAAATGCATAAATACATCTGGTTAGAAGAGACACGTTGATCTTTTTTCCTACTGAGGGGCTTGCTTGAGAGAAAATTGAGTGAATGCTGACAGAAGGTTTCCTGGACAGAGGTGTCCTGTTGACATATGCAAACTACTAATCAATTAAATATGTACACTGTTGCCATGGTTTCTACGTCAAAAGCTTCTGTTTACAATACGGGCATTCAATGGTTAGCATGACTGATTTTAAACTATGATATTACAATTTTTATCGTGATTACATATTTGTTTACGATGTCATAGATATGGTGTCTTATTTGGTGCATGAAGCGCCTACCCGCCTGGAACATCTGGATCCATCTCCAGGTTTTTTGAAATTGATCATAACGATTTTTATTATGTTTATCTTTCCCCAAAATTCCTTGGTTTGTGTATTTGTTTATACTTTGAGAACGGATTGTATTCTCGGGAAGTAACGAATTGATTTCTTTGTATTACACTTTCAACAAACTCCCAGACAAAACTAACTATCTGAAATTAGAAATTTAAAGAAATATTCATTACATTGTACTAGGTTTACTTTTATGATTTTGGTGATTGTGATTGTAATGATGATGACGACCAATGTTAGCAATATCCACATGGAATGTTATGCGAACAGTTAACGTGGGGTATGCTTACACAAAAACATTTCTATATCTGTGCCCTGAAATATGCATTTTGAAACCATGTTTTGAATAAAACATAAACAAGGCCTACATGTTTAGATATGAACAGTTCTGAACGATAAAATAGTAGCTATGCAAAGGAAGTATGTAAATTGACCAGTACGCGTCAACTGTGGAGTGAAAGTTTACATGAGTTATATGTAACAAAATATGTATTACCCCAAAATATCGTTAGAGTACCAGAATGACATGACATTTTCACTCACAATGTTTTATGGTTCTGTACTGTGATAGTGTATGATCCTTTTGTCTTTCTCTATATATAGACATACAACTGCTTTACACTTATCATTAACCCTGTTAAAGCATGACCTCCAATAACATCAGTTAAACAAGGGTAAGCATGTGGATATGCGTCTACTATCATATATAGCAATGCATATTTTACCGATGCGCGTTTATCTGGAATTGTTCTTTCTACATGAGTGTAATAGGTGTCATAGATACATTAAACAGTACATAGCTCAGTTATGAAGCCGGACCATTACAACCGATACTGATGACATTATCGAACTGCCGTTTTGAACATAAAGATAAAGTTATATACATCCACTCTACAAAACATTAAAATATTTATCTACAAAGATTTATTGATCAATGGCATTGGCATCTTAAAAACATTTCCATGTCGTTGTCCGTGTAGGCCATGAAGCGATTGATATATTGCATGTTTTGACTACACGAATATACAAAAATATTTCTGTCTTAAACAAATATTGAGAAACACTGTAGTACCTGTATTAATAACACCACATTGATATAATTACTGTTGCACTGTAAATGCAAATTATAAGCGTGGAAATGTCCAAGGCCAGAAGTATATATACTAAATGCTGATCAAACATTGAGCTTATGTATAGTGAAGGAGGAAAAGGATGCTATATAGATTGATGTCGGCATCTTTATATAACGACATCAGTAGCTAGTGCTTCGACTGCTCGTTCTATATCTGGAATATACTTTGGTTAGGTCCTTACGAAGTAATCATACTACATGTATTTGCTTCACTGCTGACAATATAACTACCTGTTATACCTTTACATCGTTTATATATATAGCGCATCACAGACAAACATTCTTTAGGAATGAAAGGATTTGATTTCAGTTTTAACAACGCGAAGTATTTCAAAATCGTCTATACGGTCACCGTAACTTTGTTTCTTTTCGTTTTGGAATTTACTTTTTCGTTACAGCCCAGGTATTTCACAAAAGCATCAATTGACAGGTTGGGCACTCAAAGGACATTTTAACTTGCTGCTATTATGTTATAGGATAAAGGTTAATATGGTGTCATGGCATATTATCCCGATAATGGTCTTACTAAATGTGTCTATGAATACACCGATGAGAATTGAGATTCTCTCACAGAAACGCAGGAAAGCATTGTAAAACAGATTCAGATTAGTTTAGCTCTTTTTAATATTCCTCACCAGATAGCTTCCGTTCTGTGAGAGAAGAAGATTATTCGCTTTATAAAATCATAGCAGAGTAATGTGTCACTAGGGCCTTTAGAATTCACGTTTGGTCATGGTAAAAGATACATTTACATTACATATAAGATATCATTTTAAAGAGTGATTTTCTTGTAGAACTGGATTCAAGCGTCTACGCACTCCCTATACGGGATTATATATATATAAAAGATCAATGCGTAGACAAAATAAAAATGATTACATACAGCGGATTATCAAAAACAAAATATTATTCCTTAGCGAGATGGAATTTTCGTTAAACAGTGTTGCGAATGCAGCTATACAGAATATTTTATTTGAACATTCCCTCTCCGTATAATTACGGCAGAGACCAGTTATGGGGTGTAGGAGAGATACTCAGACACTGTAATATCCTCGGGGACAGCGCATGTCAGAACAGATCACCGGGACGGAGTGGCCCAATGGCAGTATATACGTTGCACGTTGTATCAGAAAATGGATCGCATGCATAAGTGAAGCCTAGGGGCTTTTAACGAATATTAGGTTGAATTTCTATAACCATAAATTTGCTTGTCAACGCGTAAACGAATTTGGCAATTGTAGGTCTATATTCATATTGCATTTCTTGGAATTCTTGGAAGGAAGCAGTTCATCTCATGTCGGATGTTTGTCAGTTTCAGTTTTAGCTTGTTTATTGGCTTTGTCGTTATCGGAATTTAACAATACGTTGTGTTTTAATTAGATATGTTTCGTGTTAAGGAGATTTAAATTTGATTACGCCCGTTTTCCTTCAATATGATATGATTCAATTTGAATTAGATATCGGAAATCAACTGCTCGAGTTAATCAATATATAAACAATGGCATGTCATGTGCATACTCAACTTCGCTGTGCCGTAAGGTCATATTGTCTGATATAGGGTAGAGTATGGGAATCACCAAGTCAAATTATATTGATCACGTTACTACGTATGATCAAGGGGTATGATGAATGAGCACAATCAGTGAATGATCTATCCATGCGACAAGGTATACAATAACAGATTAACTCATGCAACAGAAGGGTGTGGTGAAGGGTAGGACACATGAAAGGGTATTCAAAACTCGAAACACCTGCTGTATTATTTATTTATAAATCTGTTTTTGAAGTAAGTACTACATGTGTTTTTTATCTTGCATTTGAGTGTTTATTGTCTAAAAGTGAATGACTTAATGTTCCTGATCAATATATACATTTTTTAAATTCGTCAATTAATTGTGGTACTATGTCGCCGTAATTCAGATAATGGCCAGGGAGACCATAGAAGCTAGATTTTTTTTAATTTAAACAATCCCTTTGCATTTATTTTTTTAAATTGAAGGCGTATAATTAAATTGTTCCAGAACAGAAAATAATAACAGCGGTGTAATAATTGACAGCTACTATGCATTCCTTCAGATCGACGTTATGCGTTAAATCTTGGCAACTGGATCGGGATAGTTGCCATAACATTTAAGATTATTAGATAAATGTCAAACAAATAGGACAGAGATGTTCCCAATGTGTTTGTATGGACGATTGTAAGTGTACATGTTCTGATCTGATTACGCTATTTTAAGAAAAAAAAGACAAGCAATGCAGCAAACATTATTGGGGCGAATACTCGAGAATGAACTATATGTACTATCATTGGCACATGTAGTGCACGTTTACAACCGCACTTATCTGACACATGTACATGTAGTACAAGTTAACAACCACGTTCATCATGCTGGCTAGAACACATGACGTATTGTCGTATGTGAATGCAATACGTACCAAAGTATGACTGAGTGTGTAACATACATTAAGTAACCAAAGGCAAGGGTAAGTAGCGATTGATATACAATGGAAGAGTATCTCAAGACATGCTTGCAATCAAGTGTACCATTTACATGTATAAAGAAGTACTATCATAGCCACATTGATGAGCTCAATATGATAATACTAGTTATATACGTTATTGTGTCGTGTTACTCTCTCACTTGGCTAAAAATAATGTACATACTCTTGATTTTCGTCATCTTATTCATTACACAAGCTGCTTATTATACTGCTGCGTATTAGATGAGTTCTATAACCGAAATTTAATGGAAACCGAATTATTTCATAACCATGTTTGTCGGAAACTCGACTGATGTATGTCTGTAGCCATGCGCTGAAGTATTGTATTAGATAGTAAATATTTAAATAAAAGCATTACTAACAATACGTTGTATCTTATTACTTTATATTAAAGAGAATATTGAGAAGCCCAGTTCCTATTTATAAGTCATATGAGTTTATATACAGTATATATGAAGTTATTATTTATAAGCGTTTTTAGCATTTTTAATTTAAAATGAAAGCAATGAAATACCATTAGAAGACGCACAAAAAAACATCACTACATGCAGTTGTGTAATATCACCAAGCATACCTTAAAACTTCACTTCGAGAATGAAAATATGTAATGACAAGTTTTGAATTTTTGAGCGTGAGACGAGTTATATGCGGCCAATGAGCGTGTAGTACATGGCTAAAAAACACATTAAACATACAATTGAAAGAAAATATTGATATAATTATACTTACCGCTTCTTCTAATTATAGATGATTTAGCTGAAACATAAAATCAGTGATAAATTAATAAATAAGTATCAACTGAATCATAATTATAGCAGAAGCACACTGAACATAAGCAAACCAGATATATTTTTGTATTTATTTTTACAGATAAAAGAGCTATAACTGTTTCTATGAACCAATAGTTCATCTAAATAAATGTATTTAACGGATGTTTCTTAGCTTATAAACTAATGCATGCGTGTATATCAATTTCAATTTGCTTACAAAAATCAAATATTTGACTGACATTTGATGCAAGAAATGCTTTATAATGTTTTGTTTGTTTTAATAACAGCAGGTATCATACATGTACACAGCTGTCGTCACCTACTGCATCATCACCACAGTGTATGGTCATTAAGGGGAGATTACAACACAGGTAATCATTGGAAATACTTCACAAATATTCTGTAGAACATATACATGCTTCTTTTACAAAATGCTTGTAAATTAATCACAACAAATACTTCAACAATACTTATATTAACATATCTACTTCAAATAACACGCATTTGATAAAAAATATTCTTCATGCAAATGCCATTATGCTTATTGATACAAAACAAAAACAATCAAAAATGTTCTAAATCTATGTGTTTGTGCTCTTAAATGGCAAAAGTATTTAAACTGAAATCAAACTCTCACATCGCTCGGATTGGCAATTAAATAGTTCGGCCCTACATTTAATTGCATTTAATTGCAGTTAATAAACAACTTTATTTGACACATTTTGTTTTATTAATTTCATGCTTTTAAAGATAGATTACAATGTTTATTCAAATCAACAAATGTAATCATTCCATAAACCTAATGAGTATGAGCATGCATAATTGCCATGATTTATATAAATATTTGTATGAAAAATATAAAACGAATGCAGCAATGACAAATCAATTCAGCTCAAATCATACAATCACGACTTGGTAAAAGACAAAATAATTCTGAAAATGAAATGATTTTATAATGCAAAGGCACGCATACACACTCGTTGCAAAGGAATTTTAGCATACACATACGACAAAACTAGCCGATCACGTTTGTTTATAAATATGCGTGATGTTTTTTTGCGTCAATTAAATAAAACCAAAATAATTAAGTTCTTAGAATATCTAATTATGGCCTGTCTTTTGTTTTTCAATGCTGCACTTTGAAGGAGATGTGCGAAACAAGTGTGGTCGGCTTGGAAGATCACAATATGACTATAATCATTAGCTAGCACTTTCTTTCTCTTCGTTGTACTCCAAACATGTGTCTCTACGACGTAACAGTAAAGTTCACATTTTATTTTCACACTCAAGACATTAAAGAACCAGCATGATTGTACCTTAACCCTGAAATCAAAAATCGTTTTCATTAATCTGATCTAATAATATTGGTTTCACGTATAATTAATTGGCTTTCATTCGAGTGATATACTGTCACCTTCGGTCTTAAATAACGACAACCCTGTGCTAGCATCATGATTAAAGTCTCATTTTGATCTTAAATGGGGACTCATGGGATAGAAGATCACAAGTGAGGACGACATAAAATGGGTGATAAAATACAGGATGTTTACCACCGGGAGGATGGGTAGGATCTATCAGCTCCCCGTGCTTGTCGGGCTCTGTAATGACGGGGGAAGTCTCAAAATTAATTTCACCAATACAAAATATTTCAAAATTAGGGAATATATTATGAACATTCCTAAAAATAGGAATATGTCCAAAAGAATATTTCTTGATAACATATATAAACTGTACATCAGATTTGATAAAGTATCGGTATCTAGATGATATTTGTTTTGGTGATTAATAAGATAAACAGTGACTTTTAGAACATAATACACAATTAATTTCGGCTATTATAATGAATATACTTTATATTTTCATTATATGTATATTGTGTTTATTTTTGTAACTAGTTTGAGAGACGGTTATTTTCTAACTCAATACCCTATCCGGTAAAAATAATATAACAGATTCCAAAGACAACGTTATTTTATTGGTATACTCTGCTTATAATAAAGGAATCATTTTTAAACCTTTGTTACATTTGAAGCAGAGTATGATTTGACCGGGTTATGTTTTTTAATATTGACTTCATAATTGAAGTCTTTCATTCACATTGTAAGGCACCAATATTAAATCGTAAAGTATGCACATCATGAAATGAACAGGAATGAATAGAAAATAATACAACAACGGTGAAAGTATATTTAAAAGGCAATGAAAGTGGAAGAATATATGTATAAAATCATTCACAACCAATGCTCTGTAATTTGGTCCGAACAAATGTCAAAACATAAAAAGAGAGGGAAAACTGAATGCAAATAAAACTATGTTGGCAATTTGGTTGGAAGGGAAGAAATTTAGGGACGAGATGTACCTTCAGAATGGTGTTAAGCAGACCACTGTTTCATTAGTCGAGTCTGCGTAACTTATGGTACAGTTTGTGTTCATGCAAACAGATCATGGCGACATAGTTCCACTCTTATTTACACCAAAATGTTTGTCCTTGAAATTTCGTCATGCACATACAGCACATGCTATAACTAAAAGATAACCGACAGCGGTTCTAGGGCACAAACAACGTAATGTATACTAAAACTATAAAGAATGCACATCATAACCTAAATTTATCGTGACTCGACAGTGACGCTGAATAAAACACGGCACAACTTTAGTATCCAACTGTACTTCTGCAACATAGGCACCATAACATATGTTGTTTTGTTTTAACTTCATGAACGTAGTGCAGCAGAAAAGTATCATGCGGTTTTGTCTCGAAAATGCCGTTTTTGTATATGGAGAAATTTGCATTATATAATTTCTGTCGTACGCAAACATTGTTGTTCATCCAAACGAAATTACTGAGAGCCCGAGGTATCCTGCATACACGAAAACGCTTGCCGTAATCTAATATATAAAATGTTTCACCACCATAGCTAGGCAAGAAGATCAACAGTCTTTCCCAGTTTCCCAGTAAACACAGTAATTAAATAACACTACATCTGGAGACAAGCAATTTCCCTCTTTTGTTTTTCTTTCGCCAATTAAGCAGAATGTCCCCGGTTTTCAATGAAAACAACGACTTCAAAGTCATGTTTACAATTCTGCGTGCTGAACCTATGCTCTTGACCAACTGTTCGTAATACATTTCGGTGCCCTTGGTGGCGTCTTGTCTGTTTCCGTTTGTTACAGAACTTATCAGAGAGAACAATTTACGCCCGCTTTGCAAAGAAAAATTAAGATGTATTCATCTAGTAATGGTATAACCGCCGATGAAGCAGGACCCACCTGTCTGATACTACAAAGTCATTTATCAGGTTCAAGGCACTGCCTTCCGTTAACCAATGAGGTACCGCTTGTTACCGCCCAGACCTTTACCCAAGACTGTTAACACAGATAACCATTCAGAGTACGGTAGCAAAACCGTCGTAAACATTGTATACCATCGTATAATGCAACATGTCTGTCGATTCAAGAGTGTTTACCATCACTGATACAATAACCTTTGAAATAACATTGGAAAAGAGAAATATAGCTGCATAATTAGTAACCAACTTAAGAGTACGTTGGTGTCGAAATTTCTTTTATATAGTAAATCTGGATTATATTATTACATAACAATTGCGCATCTTTACTCTAACGCCTACACATCAATACTCCGACAATCCGATTGCAAGGTACATGTACCAAACTCATAAACCCGCTCTGCTATAGCGGAACACGCTACCTAATAGCCATACCACTTGAATAATGACCACATCCTACATGCAAAGCAAGTTTCCAGGTACCAATGAGCCAATATACAAGTAATACATGTATATGACCTCCATGCATCTACAGGTATGGGACGTTACCATACTACATCTACCACAAGAGTTACACCCCTTTGTAAACGACATACTCACCACTGAGGACGTTGACAAGCGTACTTGTGATATGGAGGTCGGAAGTTCTACACACATATTTCCCAGCATCCTCCATTTTCACATTATTCACAGTTAATACACTGTATATTAATTTGTCTATTAAGGACACAAATTTTGTTATAGTGATATGTTGGTCATTTTTATTTTGTATTATTTCATGTCCATCTTTAAACCAATCTAAATCGTCGTTAGGGAAGTCATCTGTTGTGGCGTTACACATGAGGTAGATTTTGTTGCCTATCTCTACAAACTCGGATCCGGTGATTAAAATTTCTGAAATGATACACAAAATGGCGGATAGTCCAATCGAAATGTCAAAAGACGTATTTCTAAACTATGCTATGCTACGCTATTTTGCACTAAATAGAAGCTACACAAACACATCGAACAAACACATCGAACAACACAGTATATCAAAAGAGGTAAGTCCTAAATGGACATTTCTTATCATCTTTATTTTCCTAAAACAAAACCCCTTGTTTTGAGGTTATGACAACTAAGATAAGACTTGCCACCAAATGTAGTAGGTACCACATATACAACATTGTACACTCAACATGAACAATAAATGATCCTTTCTACCTTTTGTATCTTCGTGATATTTACAGAAAACCTTTCTAAACACATATGTACTGTCCAAATCTTACATCATCTAGCTTAGTTGTCTCGTTCATTTATCAGTAAAACAACATACATGTATATGTATATAAATGTAGCTCTTCCTTATATCTTTCGGATATCCGTTGTCGATATTCTACTCATGCTGTAAGAGAAATCCTTTTTTCATTACATGCTTTGCGGCTTGGGTAGTCATGTTATATACCCCTTTATGATATGTGCAGGTTCTAGACAATGTCGGATTCGCTTACAGAAAGCAATTTCATTATACTCAAGGGAATCTATGTTTCCTGAGAAATATTTAAACGTCTAGAAAAACGTCATGCCGTCTTATTATTGAAACCACACTAGTCTTGGAAAAAAGGTACCCCTGTTGAAGATAAGGAACGTTGTACGGTCAGGCAAGTGTCATGTTCAATCCTTATGTTGATTTGATAGTCATAACGTACCATGCCATTTCACACACATCATCATACCATTGATAGATTCTTACCAAATAGGTTGTGGCATTTTAGAATTGAACCTTACTGGACAATATATTGAACACCTCTCAAAACAAAGCCAGATAAATAATATCTTTCCAAGCTCCATGGTATCACTTCATATATACACATGTAGGAACACTAACCACTGACACTGTTAGGTATATTGTGCAGTTATTTTCATGGGAATTATTTTTTCGTTTATTTCTTTAAAAAGCTATAATACACCTATTTATATGTTTTGCGAAAGTTTGAAAATACGAAGTAATCAAGCACCTATTTCCAATGATATTAAGCCAGCCTTTAAGCCGAATAAAACAAAAATAGGAAAACAATTACTACCCCAGTCCTTCCACTCATTATCAATAAGTGGTATTAAGCGTGAAATATGAATATTTGAATCAAAAGTTTTCCAAAATTATGAAGATACACAGAAACAAGAACAAATACAAACTGGAACATTTTTTCCCAAAGAAAACGTTTTTAACCTCGAAATTTAACCACGATGAAATACAGTATTACTAAATTTCTATCGACTTTGTTTTATAGGGATTAACGTCCTATTTACAGCTAAGGTTAGTTAAGGACCAGTCTCTTTGTGTGTAATGTATGCATGCATGGGTTTATGTGTGTTGAAGGAAGGGTGCGTCGGTGTAAAGGTAGTACATCGCCATTTACAGCTAGTGGTATTAAGAAACCCTTTTCCCAGAGAATATTGTTTTTGTATCTTGATGTCGCCTAAACCTGAAATAAGCTTGGTAATCCAGGAAACATGTTCACAGTCTAGTGTAAGCAAAGAACTGGCCAAAATAAAACAACACAGATGTTAATGTCAATAAAACCTCACTGTTTGTTTATCTTATTTTCGATTTTCGATTTCACAACTACAACGTATTTTATCAGCTATGTAAGGAATTCATAGACTAACCATTGCTCAAACATGTTCATATGCTAATGTATGGATTTTTCTGTAGTGCATGGATTTATAGAATTGTAAAAATTGTTAACAAAATAAGCTCAGTTTATGTGTTGAATGCAACGTTGATTTTAGAATTGATATGGAACCAAGATCGAATTGGAACTTTGTGATGAATACCAGAATGACAACTTATTCTTGGAAAACTCATCCATCAGAATGTGTTCCTTTGTTTATATTTTATAATAATTCCCATCGCTTTGAGTTAAAATTACCTTTTCATACGTCGCACTTGTTATATAGGGTTTATATTTACAGTTATTAATGCCTCAATGTAAATTTCATATTCAGTCTTATATTGATGTAAATGTGTATCTAACATTATAAAACTAAAGAAAAAAAATCTTTCCTCGGCTGAAATAGACTGTACAAACTGATCCACGAAATACTATATCTCTTTTGCCCTGTAATCAGGTAATCGTCTTTATATCACACTGTATCATTATTTTGGACACATTCCCTTATTGTAGAGAAATAAAGTAATATAGTTTTTTGTGAATCCTATATAAGAACTGATATTACTTAGAACTATGTTTTATAAGAAAAGCTACAATTACAATCCCTTATCAGTGGTGTGAAAGAAAAAGTTTAAAAAAACGTCACATTAGTCGTGATCAGACACGTATTCCGTCTTTGCGTATTGCAGAGTTATCTTCTCTTGAGAGCAGGTATTGATTGTTACGTCATTTGTTTGTGAGAGTAACGTCATCAATTTTTGAGAAAACGACGTAATTTTCTCACACAAACCAATGACATAACAATCAATACCTGCTCACGAGAAGATAACTCTGCAATACGCAAAGACGGAATAAGCATTTTCACAACTTATTTGCCATATTTAGTTTCTTGGAAAATAAGAGAGAAAGGCATGTCTGATAAACGAATAAAATGCATACAAGTCACTGTGACACGTACTTTATAACGACGAGATACCTTTACTAGTATATGTCACAACCAAGCAACAGCTATAATTATATAATGATAATAATAATTTGAGGTTTTTATATACCTCTTTATCATAACCAAGTAGGTCGTCTCAAAGCGGTTTACATATTATTAACCGTGATTATAGGACCTTTGAAACCAGCCAATATCTTTCTCAACTCCCCGGGGAGCATACAGCCAGTGCTGCCATTTCGGCGCTAACAGCTAGCATTCAAGAAATATAGCACTGCCCAACCAGGTACTCATTTACAGCTGAGTAGACTGGAACAACCGGAATAAATTATCTTGCTGAAAGATACAACACAGTGCCGTGACGTATGTATTTTATTACGACTATATGAATAATAAAGTATCATCACAAGATTGTTATTGTATAAATTAACTAAAATACATGCGGAGAACGAAATAGATTACATTGTAAAGCATGTTGTATTTTTTCAACTATATTACTGTAACACATTTAGATGTACAATCAATCAGCACGTTTTATTTTAATGGGTTAAGCGTCATATAATGTTAACCCTCGCGTAACACGGGTCTATATATTCATGTAGGAAAAAGGTTCCTTAGTCTCTACTTTTGTTTATTTCTTCGTGGAAGTAATTTGTTTCGTTATATATGAGTTTAAGTATCAATATTACTTCGATCAATGGTAATTAACTGCTGCATGAAATATGTTAAACGAATGTTGCCAAAAAACATATTTGTATAATTTAACTGTTTCGTTCAGGGATTTTTTGGCGCCAAATATTTTTTTTTTTCCTTTTTTTTCTGCTCTCATGGTCATAAGATTAATAGCAAATATCTCACAAGAATAAAACGTGTCTTTATTTGAATGCAAAAGTTTATCATAGACACGCGAATTTTCCTTTAATTATGGCTTTAGTAAAGATACCCGTTACAGAGTCTGTTTCATTGCAACTTTTGCAGAAACAAATTAGTTAAAACCGCTTGTATTCAAATATAGACATGTGTTGGAATAAGCACTATAAGAAAAGTAATTCGATAAGTAGATTTTGACTTAACTTCCCTAGATAGACTCGTCTTTGATAAAGTTATCAATAGCTGGATAGTCAGAGCGATAATTATATAACAAATAGAAGCCATATTCATGAAATATAACGTCATTATGTAAGTGACTTAAACACCGGTTATAAATGCAATCTGCAGATGGATGTGGCAATTTTTAACATGCATTTATAAATCGTTATCTAAGTGTTCCGTTGGAGCGGTCACTAGCAATAAAACATATCCGCAGACCGTTCAACAAAACGGTGTTAAGTTTTCTTTAACAGGCAAAGTGAATTAATCTTTGGCCCTTACCACATTAGCAGACGGCTACGTAATTGCTACACTAGACAGAACCGATAACATCCGGGGATAATCGTCCTTGTCCATTACCAGAGCAGTACACAGTTGTCGTTCCGACTCAGCCACTGTACTTATCGAATATATACAACCATTACCTTAAAGTCGTATCGACAATTTCTCTGGCCGCACTCAAGGAGCTGATATCGCTATCGGTGGTTTATTTGTGACTAAATGCATTGGATGATTTACTGGTATGATCAATATAACATCAAGGAATTAAAACCAGCTGCTTTAGTATGTGCGAAATATGAGTATGTGTTTGTCCGTAACAATGTGTGACAAATTGCTTGGGTGGATCCTCTCTTACAATTAAATATACTCTCGTGACAGGACATAATTTACCATTTGCCGTAACATGTATGTGTACCCTATATATTGGTCTCTCGTTTTGTTTTTGATTGGAGTTAACTGCCTGTTGTGAGGATGTTAAATCCCTATAGAAAATATCAGAAATGTCTTCCTCGCAAAAAACTGTATACTCTTGAGGGGCGTCATACAGTACGCCATCCCCATAATATGTGTATAGCACCTTAATGGGCCTCATACACTACTACCCATTACATGCATCCCCTTGCATTGCCTTATACACAAGCCTTCAATGACATATTCATGTACTATTATGCATTTCTTATACACGACTTGACCGCCAATGCTGTATCTGTAAAATGGGATGATTGAACAAGTTCTTGCGAGCATGTATTGTTTTAATGGCATAACAAACCCTGTCCTAAAATATCACGTCTTGAATGGTCATTCTACGTTTTTTTTCCAAACCGTCTTACATGTTAAACATGCGTCCTATACTACTATACAACTTTTGATTAAACTGGTATATCGATTTTCAATACACAAAGGAGGGGTATCCATTTCGGCCTCTTGGTGGCTATCACCGATACGATTTTATTTTGCCTAAGTCAAGTGACCTTGCCGTCATGAAATGTCATAAGAGTAAGGTCATCATGATATAAATGGGAGGAAACTGTGGGACCAAAATAACAAATGACCTCTTTTTGTCAAAGCTACATGTTTCAAAACTTTCTTTATTATTATTCTAGTCTACATTAAAGTGATTTAATATGAATACATATGTGCCTACGTTTTGATACACAACAATTTAGTGTACCTTATTACATTAATGGAACACAACCTGAATTTTCATCAAATTCAGAACCATCTACTGTGGAATCAATATTATTGAAACAGAGTTATGCACATACAATTACTATATTCTTCGATAGTTTGATTGATATTTCGGCTAACAGAATTGGATATGTGGAGGTCCTTATATATTTGAGCAGAATGTCATGTACATGCTTCATAGTCCAGCTATAGTTGAGCTATATTAGTAATATATTTATGTACTGTATTTTTAATACAGGTTTAAGACTACAACATTGTTTGTATCCTTTCGTACAGTGAAAAGCAGTTGGCTATGATAAACAAGCGATTAGCTACTGTTACATGTACTTCAATTTAAGGCCAATTACCAGTTGAAAGCGAAACACTACTTACTGGACTAGAGACAGGAACAGTATAGGTATGTTAACATGCTACACACATGTATAAAAACCTCTACCCAAATAAATACATGTATGTCTGGTGTGTGTCGTGAGTGGTTATGCATCCCATAATGTTAGCCAAAATATAAATCAAAATTATCAAACAATATAGCAATTTGATGTGCACCCATTTATTTCAATCATGTATTATTGCAATAAAACCGTATTTGTTATAATGGTCTGCTCAATCATATCGGTAGCTATCGAGATCGATTCTGTCATATTATTTAGTTATTCATCATTAACACTCAAATATGATATAAACTTCATTTTATTACAATTAACAACATGGCTGTAAGTCTTACTTTTAACGCAAAAATTGGTCATTGCAATAAACGAGTTATTTATACACAGGATGAAGAGACGAGAAGAAAAAAACCTCTTTTGAGCGCGAAACGTTACTGATGACACGACACAGAGTTGTCTCCCCAGAAAGCCTTCTCTTACACATGACATTTAGTTCCCACTAGACCCCGTATGTCCGCCCCCAGAAATCTTTGTCTCTTTGGCGAACACTGGTATTCTAGGTTAGAGTATTAAAAGCATTTTCTTCACACTCTGTTAAACTCTACTTTTTTCTTTGACAAGGCAAAAAAACACTTTCCTGATTACATTTGCTTTGCCAGAATATAATCGAATCAGTTTTAGATTTATAAATTTAAGCTGATTATATGTCAGTAATGATATCGAAACTTAAATGATTTCTATTTACTCTGGGACAAATGGCGAATTCGTTGATTTTAAGAAATGTACGTATTTCAGTGATCAAAGAAGAACTTAGTCATGTGTGCACACCCCTGGTGTTAAATGGACATCAGGTAATTTAGAGTTGTTCATACTCACTAGAGTTAACACAAATACCTATAGTTACTCGATCTATTTCTTATAATAAAATAAATACATCAGGCCGATTGATTAAGTCAGACTAGCTGACACCATTCTGAGGTTTCTTAGTGTTCAGGAAAGTTAATGTTACTTGTGTAAACGAATACAACGTACGTTGCTTAAATGGAAAACAAAATAGAAAAAAAACTAAACAATGGGATACAACACGTCCGGGGAAAAAATATGTTTTCACTTCACAAATATCCCAAACTAATGAGTTGTTACATATCTTTCTGTCATATTTTCATCCATGTATCTATGTTTATTCGTTATATATTGACCAGATGGATCAAATTTAACTTAAGATAATGAAATTTAAAGTGTAGCTTCCGATCAAAACGCTTAGAAAATTCAGATACTATATTGAAATATTCAAGAGCTTATTGGCAACCTTTTCAATCATATCAGATTTGAATTAACATGGCAAGCAAAGCATATATCATTTTGGGAATATTATAAGAAAATTTCATAATTTCCTTTTTACTTTAAATCGTATCTGTCAGGGTAAAATATATTCTGATATGGGGTACAGCATGATATACTCATTGTATTTAAAGGTTATTTTATAACTGATAATGAAGCGAAACACATGCGGATAGGATTTTTTTTAAAAACAAAAGTGTTATGAATTAACTTAATTGTGTCAATCATGTAATAAGAGCAATGTCATATGAAACGGAAAAATGGATAATGGTTACAAGAAAAACGGGTAGTATGATATTTTTGGTATTTATAAAAAGTATGTTTACAGGCAGGATAATTACTCACTTGGTTTAGATGTCGGCTTTGGACTCGTTGCTGGTGGTTCTGAAATGACAGACAATGAACATATCAATCTACCTGTGTGGTAATGTTTATATAAGTATTTCCATGAAAACATGTTATTTATGCATTCCATTAGCGTAAATTAAATACAACGAAATTAATGATATATTTGTTTCATATAAGGACTTCAACTGTTATGCATGTTATTGTCTATACACCCCAATTTACGCTTTCCTGGTCAAAATTAGGTGTTACTGCAACATCATCATGTTCATTAACATGTATGAGTTCATTAACTTGTTGATTTCATGTCGTAAGACCGTGAGAAACCCTTTCAATGAACAAACGACTACAACAGCAGCAGTGTCAGGAAACTTGGATGTCATCGGATACCATTTTCTTACACTTAACAATGGAATTAACGATAAACGGAAATGATTTCTAATCTCAGATTTCTTTGTACAAGTGTTAGTGGCTATAAAGGTAGGCTGAATGAGCTATTGTAACATGAACGCCGGAAGTACGATGGTCTCCCTCGCGTGTGTGGTAACGGTGCAACTCCCAGGGCGACCAGCGAGGGAAAATTTAAATTCCGCTATCTCTTCCTATAACATCGACATTTTTGAATGTACAATTGGAATCAACATAAAACATATGCTACCAAATGATGATAGAGTACAAATTCCTACAAAAACCATAACAATCAAACACGACATAAAACGGTGCAGAAACACAAATCACTGGCACACTATATGAATCAAAAACTCACAGAAGGTTGACACACTTTATCAATACAAAACTCACAGAATTGAATACTACAGAGTATCAAAAACGAAAAAAACTAACACTTCATGGTACCAAAATGTACAGTTAAGACAAAGTTACCAAATGCATCATAATACTTGATTAAGACACTGAGAGAACACACCACAATACCAAAATACAATGAACCAAAATTAGTGAGTGGCTTAACCATATCTATTGCACAAATGCCCAAGGTGAGGTTTGTTTTCGTTCAACCTCGTCAGGATCAGTATTAGGGAAATAATATACCTGCTGGAACCAATTGCATGTTGTAAAGTGGAAACCTTCTGCAGAATTTGAAGGAGAAAAGCGACCAAAAATAACCTGCTGCAACATTCGGGATCTTTATAAAAAACATAACTTATAGAGCACGTTTTTCGTCTCGAAGCGTCTTGCTTAGCAATATCTCAAACTTTGCGTCAGTGTTTAACAATCGCCTAAATAGAAACGGCAACAGGTTCTGTCCATAGACAGGGACATACGAAAGTACTTTAAATGCTAGTTGTTACTCCTTGCTACACGTTCAGAATTAAGGTATTCGCTACAACAGTTAAGCCGGATACCAGTTTTATTTGACTGGGTGATATACTGTGTTTGGTACCGTTAGTATGGTGTTTCGGTACGGTAGCATTGTAAAACAAAAAAGGAAGCAAATACACGAATGCATTACAAACATCGAGGCACGTCCTTTAATTAGCATAGCTGTTAATAGGACTATACTATTAACTACGTGGTAACATGAACGAAAGCATAAAGCCTCTGTATAACTGTGCACTGTTTAAACAGGAAAATTCAAATGTCGTTGTACTGATATAATGGTTTTTAAATGAAGGCACATTTGCTGTAAAAAGACATGCATTTCCAACAGCCATTGTCGTTTCGTGCTCTGAATTATAAATGTGCTAATCTTACTAAGGTACCAACTGTCGACCGCGGCTTCGCGGAGGTGTACACTTTACATGTTGTTGATCGATTAATTAAGGTAAAAACAATATGTTTTGTCTTTCTTAATGGGTTGTAACAAACAGGCGTATTAAAGTACGTGTGCAACGCATAATGAAGACAAAATATACCGCTTGCATTAAACTAAAACAAGTCACTGTAAGAGAAGGTGGTTAGATTCAAAACTAAACAAACTGAAAACAACTTATAATGTATGGGTAAATACATGTATCTATATTTCTACTGAGGAGTACAACACTAAACCGGTACAGATCTTATTGCAGAATTGCAAAACCATGCACTGCCTGAAAATATGCCGAAGTATTCAGTCGAGTACAGTGCAAATATTCCTAACAAATTTAGATAATGACAAGCATAAAAAAACTTGTAGTGATTTCAAAATGATCCAGCTGATTTAATTTTGAGTAAAACAAAAAACAACAACACGATGTTGCACTTGTATATATACAGTATAGCATACGAGAGCTAACAACTCTAAACATTTGTTGTTAAACCGTTCGTTAACCACGTTTTATATACATCAGTAAGCTACATGTACATTATCGTATCTATGCCTGTCATCCCGGACTCTTTAAGTATCCTTACACCGCCCTGTCTCGTGGCTTGGGATAATGTACACGCCGATACCACGTCACCAACACACTGCTACATCGACAAAGGACGTTTCCTTAACATGTCTTGTACAGTAGACAAACTTAACAACATATTTGCATACATTTACATATTAAATACATCAATGTAAAAATTCGTACAATACATTAGCAAAATTTTATAAATCATAACGACGGGAAGTGGAATTAAAGCCAAAGTGTCAACACATTAAGATACAATCATAGCTGTCTATGTATTGGCATCTGGCCAGGACGTATCTTAACGAATCCAGGACAGTAACTTGGTTACAGTTCTAAGACAAAGTGAGATATCATAAAACCATGACAGACAAAGATACATTAAATTATAAAATGAAGTAGATGTTTCCACCAAACCATTACTTAACGGACATGAACGATGAGCCTTTTCGGTAGAAAAATCTCGCTACATGTTATTGAAAGATCAGAGGCACTTTCATTCAGAATATCGTGAAACAATCTTCTTGAGAAAAAGCGGTGAGTATCAGTGCCTTTTAAACGTTTTGTGGAAATATTTTGAACACCACGCTACATTTTGACGAAACATTATCCCCTATCATTTGAATTTGTGTATTTGTAGTTTTGAGCTTTAAATTAGCCCAACTTTATCTATACACTGCTTTTGTTGTGGTTCTATTGGAAGTGGACACCGTTCTTACATGAAAATGAGCCACAATCACCAGTGTCGGAGTCTGCCACAATCTTCAGTTGACAGTAAGTCGATTAGAGAATGTTTTATTCAGTATATAGAAAAGCCTTACCTGCTTTAGATACCGCTTGTGACGGATTAGTGAACCCTTATCTAACAAAACAACATATTTATCTTGCAGCTAGATAACTATGTTATGGACTAAGAAAGGATCCGTAATGGTAAAAGGTCTTGCAACAGTCATTTCCGCTTTTACGTTTTGTACTTCTTCCAGAGCGATGCTAGATAATAAAGGTGTAAGGTGAATGTCGGCCAGGTTGGTGCTAGGTAAAAGGTAAATATCGGCAATTGTAGTTTTACATGTAAGTATGAGGTTGATGTCAACCATTATGGTTTTAGGTATAAGGTAAATGTCAACATGCATAGTGGTGTTAGTTATAAGGTAAATGTCAACATGCATAGTGGTGTTAGGTATAAGGTAAATGTTCACTAGTGTGGTACAAGTATGACGTAGCTACATGTATAAGGTAAATGTCAACCATCATGGTGTTACATTGCGTTGTTATAAGGTAAATATTTACTAATGTAGTACATATATGACGTAGGTACATTTGTATGAGGTAAATATCAATCAAACCGATGTTAAGTTTGAGGTAAATGTCAACCTGCTCTAAGGTATAAGGTTAATTTCTACCCGTGTGCATGTATACAGTAAATATCTGCCAGTGTGGTGTTAGGGATACGATATTAGTTATCGCAATTCGTAAGATATTAGGTAAAAGGTAGATATCAAAAAGCTTGATAATAGATATAATAGAACTGTTAGGTATCACCTAAAATAGAATTAATACATGCACGACGGAACTCAACACATGTCCCGATCCACTTCATATGACCGAGCACATACATCTTTGGGTAACGCAGCGGCTATAATATAACAGATTATAAATTCATAACACTAGCCTGCGTGAGACAAATGCTCTCAAACACCTACTGAGTCTCTTTCAAGACTATCAAGTATATCGTAGTTGTGCGATATTGAGGCGGTCCATTTCCATTAAACTGTAGAAGTTTGGAAAATGGTCAAAGATGCTTTCCACTGTGAATAAATCCCTGTCGTAAAAAAAACTAGACGCCTGCTCACACGGAGCCCTCACTTTGGACCACAGCCATTGATTAATAGTCAGCAGAAACCGAGAAACACGCGTCTAAAGTTTGCCCCCAAGGATATCTGGCATGGTGTTCGGTCATATCGACGCTTGAAACTGCGTTTTATAAATCGGGTTTTCGTTTCAAATTGTCTAAACCATTTCTAAAGTGAAATTTAAATAATCATTTGCGCGTCCGTTGTCTGTCTAGTGTATTGGTTTCACTGCATAATGCGCGTTGGGCCAATGCTCACTTCCAGAAATGCAACAGTAAAAACAATGTAACGTGACATGACAGAATGCAACGTTTGAGGCATAACAAATTTAACGTTTAGTTTTTGAAGTATTTATACATTTAACATTTTAGTGTTTTGCAAAGTTGTACGGTAAACATCAATAAACTGCTTTACTACATTACGGTATATATATACTCGTAAAACTTAGGGGAATAGTGCTGGCAACACTTATTATGGAACAAGCACGTGAATGTTTGTACATTAGCTAAGAACACTGCAAAATATGGAGTGGTACATAATTTGAGCAAATATCTTTGAACAATATGAATTTTATAGAACCATTATTTTTATTTTTCATATTCTCATTTACCGCATATACATAAAGCTCATGTTTGGTTTAAGTCTGTGTACAAAAACAACAATGACTTTGATACAGGTAACGATTTCAAGGTACAGAACAAAACATCCTTATGTGTCGATAATGGTAGTAAGCTATTTTGTTAGATTTGTTCTGGTCACATATAGACGGAGGGACACCGTCGAAAGAAAAGAGGGCAGAAGTTAGAAAAGAAAAGATGTAGATTCTAAGTGCTGCGATCGAGGTGGAAAATCGATCTTGGTTTTTTTAACGCCCCTTTACATATCACCTAGAAGAAATCCGCCCTGTTTATAGATGCCCAATTTAGTCGCCTCTGATAATAACATGAATTGGTATGCCGTAGACCTATTCTGTACCCGAACCTGCAAGGTTTTGTAACAATTGTATGCAAACAGTGGTGTAAAACAGTATATATACATATAGGATGTAATGAACTTAATGAATTTTGTCATCAATCAGCTCCCATACGAATTGGTGATAAAATAGTTTAGAGCTTTGGCAAACTGCAAAATGATTAAAAAATGAAAGCAATGCACGTGCCAAATTTCGACATTATCCGACTCGAATTGAACATGTTATTGAAGGATTGGTCGATTTCATGGGGTAATGAATTGAGTTGGTCTTGAAACAAATTCAACATGAACTAATTTGTTTCAAGACCAACACAATTCATCACCCCATGAAATCGACCAAAGCAAGATTCAAACCTTATATATCAATCAACGTGTTTTTCTCTCTCAATAATTAGTACTTGTGAAGTCCATTTTGATAGTTTGTTCCAGGTTCTGGAGCTTGTGCAAGTCTACGTATTAACCTAATGTGAAACAATATAGTCCGTCATTGAAGGATCATAATACAACATGATGCTGTACCTTGATAGTTCAATACAGCCAAATTATGTAGAAACAAAACACAAAGCCATATTTAAAATGTCATATTTATGTTTTGTTAACGAATTCATCAATTATTAAATTTTCTGATGCGTCATCGCGGAAGAATAATGTCTAGACGCGGTGCGCAGGCTCAACTGCGAGTCTACGGCAGCCTTCTTTTTACTAGGTCGAAGTGGAGAGCAGTTAAATTTCAAGGTTCTGCATCTTTTGGAATGTGTGGCTGCAGTAATTGAATGTCGAATTAGATAGGAAACCAGACGAGGCTTGTAGGACGAAACAATTTGATATGGCAGTTAGCTATTCGACTACGTTTCATATAAGACGGGACCAGTTGGATCTACGTTGTTTTCGATTTGAATCGGGGGTTGATACTGACACATGAGGCAAAACGGGTAGCTGGATGGGGACTCTCTAGGGCAGTACATGACTTGTGACTACCGCTAGCAACCGTGAGCTGATAATATTTTGCTTACAGATCGTTTTTGTTTGTTTGAATAATTTCTTTTGTAGTGTCAATTAAAGTGTAAAATCTCATCAAGTGGTATCTTTGTATAATTATGACAATATAGTTATCTCCCTTCGCAAAATCATACGCACAGGCAATGTCGAAACAGGTTACATTTGGAAGTTGCATTGAATCCAACTTATTCATTATTGAATGGTATGCCTTCATGACTAGTGGCTTCTTTTCAATGCTAAAATGAAGGTTGAGACTAAAAAAAACCGTTTCTATATCAAAACACGTTTTTTTTTTTACACATACTGCCAAAACGGATACATTGTACCTACAGAGCTGTGCATAAAAGGCACATCTTCAGTCGCAATGTCAACTGTTTTCATATGAGTATACAAATTCAAGAATAGTAACGTTAACATCAAAGAGGACACACGGCCAGACAGGCCAGTTGTTGCAGCATCAAAGAAAAACATTGCTGATGTGAAAGAAATAATTAAGAAAGATGCTAGGCTCACATCATATTTTTACAACGACTTGATACTAAAAAAGTTCTGTGCCCGATGAATCCCCCTTTCGCTGACATCTGACCAAACGCCTAAACGTTTGAAATGTACTACAATATACTGCGCAAAGAAGGGGACACTATCACTACCAAATTTTACAGAGACGAAGTTCTGAAGCCTGCCAATTTTATACATGAAAGGGTTGAATGACATCGAGTTAATGCACGACAATGCTTCATCCTACAAAAGCGATAGTGTACAAGTGTGTTTGTAGCAGGAGAAACTAGTACTGTTTGCCAGGCACACTATTCACACGATTTAAGTCCCTATGACTTTCTCCTGTTTATCTTACTACCAAGAACGCGCTCTTGAAAACGCCTCTAGGTGTGCTCTTGATCGTGGAACCTTTCAGTGTTTTATCAGTATATCGAGGGGAGACTACCGCACAGCGTTTACGTCATGGACAGCACGATTGTAAAAGTGCGTATATGCTAAGGGGGATACTTCGAAGGATTGTAGTAGAAAGTTATATACAACATGCATGTGACTCCTGACAATAGTGACAAAATGTATGGTATGGCCCTCGTATTATTGAACACTTCTAGATTGAAAAAAAGAAACTTTTAAAAAAATCATTTAAGACGTACCTATTACCGTTAAGAAAACAACTCGTCGTATATTTCGTTCTCGCGAGCTGACTTGACATTCGTAAAGGCCTGCGTCTTTTCGACTGACGTTTTTGATGTATAAATCCCACTGAACTCTGTAGTCTATATAGTTGACGTGATACCGATCGTCTGCCACAAACACAGTGTTGCCTATTGATAGTGGATTGGGATCTGCCGTCCGGCGCCAGATCACCTGCAATGTAAAGAAAATATGCATATAAGGAGAAATAGAACCATCAACGCCTTTCTAACACAGTCGAAGTCAACGCAACCTCAGTAACATGTATGATCAGTACGACAGTATCTGATAGATCCATACTGCAGATTTAGAAGCGATTCCATCTACAAAAAAAGGCAGTATGCAGTTTCTTTAAGACCATCATCATGTAGATGCCAATCGTATATCATATTTTTATTCCAGCAATGTTATATAGAAATTGATACGAAAAGAAAACAACCAACATAAACAGTCAGGCTATTAAAGATTAAAGCCTCTTTGATAAAATACATGGATAAATGGTTTATTTACTTTATCAACAGGAAGCATCTATCATGAACATCCTGATTTTGACAGCACTGTTACACATGTATTCTAAAGAAGGAGCTAATTAGCTAATTAGGATAATGCATTTTACGACTTAGGAGCTGAGGTCGTCACGATTGTCATAGAGTTTGGCAGTGGCATGATTATAAGGTAAATGTGAAGTTCTGAAGCTAAATGATATTTTTTATCGTTGAATGCATAATTAAAAGTATTGGAAGATGAATGAGATGCAAGAAGTCCTCAACATCATTCGTTTTCCATGATAAATATAATCTATTATTATTTCTTCTATAATGATCATATGTTTATTTTGTCTTGCTATTATAATACAACTTGACAACAAGTATCTCATGTTTATTGATTACATAATTTTTAAACACCTAACAGATAGTTACATAATGGAAGTCTTTGCCAAACGATAGAGCAGCATGGAGGCAAAGGCTTTCCTAAAACACAATATTGTAATTTGAGAAGGCAGTGGTGACGCAGGGATGGCACAATATCGAACGAAATGATAGCAATAACAATTGCAAAAATAACAACCAAGTATTTTAGGGCAAAACGATTTGAACAAAGGTTCTGTTTGAGCTTAAAAAGGGCACAACCATCAACAGAAGGCCAATGTTAAATGTCAGAACAACAAGACGTATAAGGGTAGGTTTTTAAGCTGATTAAGGATTCTTTCTTTCGTTCTTAATTTACGGCAACTGTTATCAAGTTTGTTCCCGACGAATTATAAGTAATTGTTTGTCAACCATAGTCATCGTAGACGCATGCCTGTGATTTAGACGACTGGGACCAAACATCTTTAATGATATCTCCAACGGTACCAGTGGTCTTTTAAAACCTTACGTGACATTGTGCAATTCCAGATGATATTTCATGATTATACATGTACATTGTATGTATTCATGTACAGTGTGGACTGCATTATTATTGCCTGTGTCAACATTCCCATTTAATTCGAGTGGATTTTAAAATAACCAGATACTCTCATCTTCACTCTCAAATGTTATATGCATTTTCATAGAGAATAAAAATAGCTGTTACACCTATTGAGTGTATATGTCCACATTGAATCTCCACCACAGAACATGTTCTAAGCATCAGCATGTAACCTGTTGAACTTTAGATCAATTGCCCGTGTTTCCAACCGGTGCGGCTTAAATCTACTTTTGATGTTGAAATCATGGCATGTTTTGAAGTTGCAAGGGTGGGAAATACAGTAATATGTGACAGGGCCGTATTGCATAGGTCTTTCCCTGATTTCAATCTATAGAGGTGCAGATTAACCATTGTATACGTTTTATTATAAATTATCAGTTTAAAAACAGTTTTACACATACAAGGAGGCCATCAGGGCCATATTGAAAATTATGTTTATATTTAGGAGTATATCTTAATAAGTTTTCCTGTATAAATAAAGCTTTTTTTTTATTACTAATATTCATATATATATGCAGAAATCGTTTGCAAAGCTTCTGATTCTTCCCATCTGGTTTTAGTACCTTTTTTAGTTGCCTTCCCATATTTTACCTTTCTACTTTATCATCATATGAAGTACATCCATTTGATTTCTGTGAGCAAATAAGTATTTCTGGTTTAATATTGTGTTCTGATAGATTGTATTTTCGGCATTTTAATTGACCTGCGATTAAATTACATAGAAAATAAATAATAAAAAAACACCAAGATGATATTGTTGTAGACATTTTAATTACCTTCTCACAGTTTTAAGTACACAGTTTAATCCTCCGCCACGGCAGTAGCTTTGCCTCATAGAGTAAGGTTTGCAACTCGCTGAACATCACAGCATGTGATGGACACATGAACTAAACGACATTCACTTGTAATTTAGAGACAAAAATAGTCTGTCGAATGCCATTTTCTGTTTTCTTCGAAATTAACTAACAGCGTGTTTGTCAATTTCATCCTTACGTGCCTCCAATATCAGATTCTGTCACCTGACATCAAGAAAACAGATTGTCTCCTCTAGGCAAGATTACAAATCGTTGTTATCCCTGGATAGCCCTTGTGAAGATTCAAGGTAATTTATCCTCAATATTATTTCCATGGTATATATTTGTTATTGCAAAGCAAGTATAACACATGAAATCATTTAATCCCAAATGATATATGAATACGCTTGGTGCATGTTCAACTAATACAGAACACGCTTTATTGTTTTAGCTTTTTATATCGCCCTGGATGTTAGATTAGCATAGCGTTTCTAGCAATAATCCCTTGAAGCAAGCAAAAAGGTCATATCAAAAATATCAAACTCAATTTGTCTGGTAATCAGCAGTTTGCAGGGAAATATTTGATGTCATTTGAGCGGACCAGGGTTTCGAAACATTGATAAGAGGAGTAATACAGGCGTGCATAAGATCAATGCCAGACTTTCCATTTCATATTCAGATTAATCTTTTTTTTTTTTTTTTTTTAAAGCACTTTCAAATATCCTCGAGAATTTGCTATCAAAAATACTATACTCAGCTATTTGAACTTTCTACATACTTTTATCTATGACCTGTCCTACTCGATATGTGTTTGATTGTGGTTTAACGTCCTATAAATAGGTAATGCGAGGAAGAGTGCCAAACAGAAAGGGTAGGAGAGTGAGAAGAATATAAAAAGATGAAAAATATAGATTACAAGTGGTTCAAGACCACAGTTATTTTTTTCTTCAATGTGACCACAGCGGTAGACACACATGACCCCCGATTCTGCAGTTGGTACAACGTCTATTATCTCGTACTGTAACATGCCATTGAATACAGAAGGGTTTTCACCGACCATTCAGGGGCAAACTATTAGCTAGCCGTAATTCTGAGTAGTGTACATGTAAAATAAACCAAGTTCTGTGTATCTGAATCCCCGGGTTTCAACCTGAGAGGATACAATCTACGATGTCAACTGTAACTAATGTGTAATCTCTTTGCAGAATCTGGGATTCGTTTATATGCGCTCTACCTAGTGACACTTAAGCCAGAAAAACGAGTCTGCTGTCCCTTTGTTATATTTATGATGTGTATAGTTTTTGTCTACTTTCTAACAAGTGGTTTTTGTTTCCTAGCGCCTTGTTTGACGATGCATTATGTTTTGCCTTCGTTTTGAAAGGTCGCCCATACCTTAAAATCCTTATAATTGTCTTACAAATTGTAGCTGTTATTTAGGTGTGAAAGTGTGCAGACTATGCTTATCTGTCAACCGTCAAAAGTATTTTCCAAAGGAGGTGGGGTCCACAAATGGCCTGTTTCCCTCGACCTGCGTCATCGAGAAGCAATTAATCCGGTGGTTCAAAACTTTCTGGTTCAGTGAGGAAGCCCTATAAAGTCGGCATCAGATATGGGCTATTGCAAGTAGACAAATGTACCCACATGACGCCCACCCCCAGCACACAACTATTCATTACACATATTGAGACAAGTCATTAAATGTCCTTAGCTGAAGGTAAGACGCTAAATGAAATAATTCCAAATCAGATCATTGTTCCCATTTTATGTTTCACTCCGACAAAATGATTCATAAAAAGAAGCATTAAAATACGCGATGTATTGGTAAATTATCCCGCCAATACTGACCAAAGCTCGAAATGTTTGTTGAATGGAGGAATGGTCGAATGATTCGTGGCAAGGGCCAATGCTGTGTTGACAATTATCGCCTATATACTAAGCATATCGACAACGGTTATTAGTTTATACGAAGAATTATGTTGATGTGTAAAATGCATGTATTTACGAAGCTGGGTAATCCATGCATATGAAATGTTTTTTCAGGATTTATAATTCAGTAACATTCTTTCCATATTTATTCTAAAGTAATCAGTTAAAACAAATTTAAGAAATGTTTATTTTCAATCAATACATACATTGAATTCGGCATACACTTTATGGCAATTATACCACGCTGGCATTGTCAGCTTCCTTAGAAACGGGACTTGACTTAAGTGCGTCAGGTGTGTCTTAGCACAATAGAAACATAGTTCTATAACAGATTCAAAGGTTGATCCGTATTTAATCAAGACATATATGGCAAACAAATCGTGTTATAATATATTTATATAGTGCGCTAAATAAATGTTGTATTATTAATGTATGTAAGACAGTTGATGACCTACATACGTTCCATGATACAAAAAGACAGATGACACATATTTTACTGCAAACAGTTTTTCTCCAGGAAATGTCAAGCCAATGACGTATATAAGTCATTAATCTTACAGACGACAGAAATCCGCAGATATGGGAAAATTCGCGTTCGATATAAATAATTGCATATGGTGTAACTCTAACGGAAAGTCAATCCTATTTCTCTTGCAACTGCCTTATTTGGATTCGCAGCAAGATAGACGTGCATGATTGTTTCACTTCAATAACATTTAATGCAGTCACACATGGTACACTCGTATATGTATATTTACGCAATTTTACACTCACCATTCCCTCACTGCCGCCCCCTAAATATCGTCTCTCGAATATCGCAAATAAATGATGACATTCATAAGACAAACAGGGTCGAACCTCCCCCACCCCGGCTATTATTAGGATAATCATATTTGACTATCTTAAGTGAGGCGTTCGCTGCCGTGCGTATGTTTTAAGGCATATTTCCCGGCTAAGGTGACAGGGGAACTTAATCCATTATGT